GGTGGGGGGCATTTGATCAAATGCACTTTTCTCAAAGTGGGGCACTCCACTACATGTGTAATTGGCGACTCGCGCTTCCCATATGTTCACCAGCAATTCTCGGTAAGTACCTCCTGCTACCGCTGCGAGCTAGTCCTGAAACAGTGTGAGGTCTCCCCCCCCCCCTTTCTTAATGTGTATCCTTGAGACAATAATCAAGATTGGGTTGGACCGAGTGTTAAACTGAGCGCGTCAAGAAAGAAGTCGATTTGAAAGCTCACAACAGAACCCGGCGGCGGCGGCGGCATCTTACTCGGATTGCTTTGCCTCATCTGAGAAATTTACGTAGAATTGATGGCGTGTAATGTTGTGCATTTTGAGTGCACGAAACCACCCCCCCGTAGGTGAATGGTTTCAGCGGACGCACCCAAGGTTAAAATTTCTCGTTCCAAAATCAATATGCTGCAAAACCACAGCCAGTCGTCGTACATCATCGTGGAGCCCTTGTCAAGCGCTTTCCAGAGCCGTAATCATTTTGTCAATATGTCATACATGACAACGTGTTCGTGTCAAAGAGCAAGTGACTAGTGGAAAGAGATGTTTGCTCCTGACGCGATGGTAGTCCTTCTCGAATGCACACATTTCTGCGGAAATTTGATGACATATGGCTTTCGTTGAAAATATGTGGCCGTCCTTTCATTTTTGGCAAAAGATTACAGTCCCAGCTGATTTCGGGCAAGAGGCGTGGTGGTGCACCCAAGACTGACAATTGCTGGGCATACATCATCCAATCAATCACTCACACTCAACGTTCACACCTAAGGACAATTTAAAGTCTTACTTTAGGGCCTGCATTTCTGGAATCCCAAAACATTATTTGGTTTAGTCCAGAACCTGACAGGAAGAAGGCCGAAGTTCGGATTGGACCTCCCGACCTTAGAACTGCAAGGTAGATGTGCTAACCAGTTAGCTACCGAGAGGCAAGACAAGAGAATTGTTTTTTTGTTGTTGTTGTTGTCTTTTTTAACTGTATGAGAGTGCCCCTCAATGGACGACTGTGATTTCGAGGCTGTGTCGGCTTCTTGTTGGGTGGCCTGCTGGACTGCCTGTCCTTGCGTGAGTTTGTGTTTGTTCCCGAGGCGTCTGTTCCCCTGGTCAACAGCTCGTATGAGGCGAGGCAGCGCCTAAAGCAACCCTGGCTTAATAACAGCTGTTGCCAAAGAGGCTTACCGCAAACTCGCAGCCAGCTTCACCGCAGGGAAAAAGCAGGCTCTGATAAGGGTGTAGTCGAAAATGAAAGAGCAATTTAAAATAAAATTAAAAAAAAAGAAAGCTCCGAAAAGTTGAAGAAACTATTTCAGAATGCAAAGAGAATATTTGGAAAGGGTTTACAGCCCTGAATTTATATCAAGCAACTCTTGTACCGG